TGCATCTATGCCTCTCTCTGTTCACTCCAACAGCTCTAGACATGAGTGGCATAACTGGTAGTAAACAATAGCTGTGTTGGATGTGCCATCTCTTCCCTACCATTGGGGCGATAATATCGATGTCAAACAAATGCTAAATAAAAGTCAATTCTTTAGTCTAAATGTTTTTCCATTAAAAGTAATGTTCAGTGCATTCAATGCTAATGGACTTACTGTTAGTCACTAATATGTTGACTGCATTTCCACAACTCCTTTTCCACGAGCAATAACTTCTCACAAAACACTTTGAAAAGTGAATACCAAAAGTTTTACATCAAATCAATCGAAATAATTATTAGACTTTGTATTGAACTACATCTGGAAAGTGTCACAAACTTATAATATCGACAGAAAGATATCAGAAAATTATTATAAGAAGATTTATGCAAACAGTGTGTCTCTCAGCCATAGATTAAGTCATATATTAGTTGAGATGAGAATGTCTTTGACGAGTGAACAAAAGGCAGAGATTGAGGCAAAACTCTGTCATACAGTGCTCTACCAAACCGTATATCACCAATGGATGAGTATTTTAGGAAATGCTTTGAATGTCTCACAAAATGTGGAATTAAAGCAAAACAGAGAAGCGATGCGATCGCCAATTATGTGCTGAGAGTGCGTCACCCGAGAGAGACGTGACAATCAATTCAAGATTTGGGAATGGCATCAAAAGGGAATGAGAGGTAATGCCATACAATAACATGTATTATTCAAATAAAATGATTTTCAAAGACATTCTCATCTCAACTAATATATGAGACTTAATCTATGGCTGAGAGAGAGAGAGCACGTCATGTCTATATTGGTCTCTATGTCTATATGAAAGGACAACTTTACTATTACTATCTCTCTTATCTAAATGTAAGACACTCTCAACACTTAAATATAATTATAACACAATTCCTGCAGTATTTCAATCAATTCACTGAATACAACGAATTATAAAAAGTAAAAAACTTTTGGCAAAATATACACTCGATTTGCATAATATTGCGAAATACTAATGTATTCATTCATTGATTGTTTTATATTACAGAATATTTAATATAAGACCATAAGTATAACCATCTATTACTCATATCCAAACTAATCCAATAAGAATTAGTGTTAATTATTCAATAAACCAAATGTTTCTGATGACATTATATAAATACTTGATCAAGTTTAATTAATAAACACATTTAATACATATTCTTAATTAAATATAAAAGTTTGTTAAATATATTACATAATTAATTAATATCAAAAACTTTAGTGTTTAGTGTTGTGTTTATATTAATAACGAGAGGTTTTTTGTTAATTTTCTTAATAAACTATTCATTAGTTTTTATGATAAAAGATAACATGTAATGAATGCTAAATTAATGATTTTTTACAACGAAAACAACTTCACTAATAAAGTGAGTAAAGATAATGATTTTGTGGCTTTATATAAATAAACCATTGTTATTATGATCTTAGAATTTAGATTCTGTGAATTTCCTAAAATATGATAACAACATAATAATAGATTTCAAACTCTTTTTGTAAAAATAATATTTTTATTTTCGTTGATTTATGAAAAAGCTTTAAAAAGAGAATTTTTAATAAAAGCCTTTGATATTTGTCAATAAAACATTGACTTTAAGAATGGCATAAAATATTAGTTTGCGTACAAATTGTAGGTTTAGTGTTATATATACCGTAAATACCGACAAACTGCGAGTATTGAAGAATAACTAATATCTTATAATAAAACGTTTAAAAATAGTCCCAAAACCCATAGTTTCCCAACTCATCTGTGCTTCTGTTCACTGGTAATGAACTCAAATAAATATTAATATACAGAATCAATATTTAGCACAAAAATATCTGGGTTCTTATATATATAGAATTATTATAGAATTTATAATTTACTTTTTAGACATCCGTAAATATTTAATCTGAATATATATTATTTAGTTATCAAAACTTAAGTGTATTTTTCAGCAATATTAAACATGTTCTGTTGAAAGGATTTTTGTTTTATATTTAAAACAAAAATAAATATTTAAAATTTATGAACACTTTTTTACTGAACAACTATTTGTGTTTACGATATCCTGCAAAGGATAGCAAAATAAAACTCAATTGCTTTTGGCTATTATATGCGCAAACTATTACTATATTATTTGAATTTATTGTTAAGATCTGTATTTGAAACAAATCGATAAATTGTTTTTCACTTAAATTGAATTTTGAAAATATAGGCAAGTTTTCCAGTTGACATCAGATTTATTTGTTATATTGATTTCAGTGTTAAAGGATTTTGAAATTTTCAATTATATTTGGGCGACAAATCCATTTTCCATACGAATGAATTTAATAAGTATTTTAAATAAATTATCAATCCAGACAATTATTAACGTATTTTTATTATTTAATATTTATTTTAAGCTTAATCTGGTTTTCTATTAATACAATTTTCTATGGTTTTATTTATCAATTTAAAATGGTTTAATGGTTTAGGCATTTGAATGGTTTATGGCAAATAATTATAAATCATCTTTATTTATTTTGTAAATTCATATTAAATTAAATATTTATTTTTATTTACAAAAGAATTGTAAATTTAATACATTTATACAATTCAGAAATGAAAACCTTTTTATTTTATTTCTATATCAACAGAAAATTATTTATAAATCAAATAAGAAAGTAATAGAATAATAAATGGTTTTTGAATGTGATGTTCAAACATAGGAAATAAAAGCAATGCTTTTGAACATTTTATTTAACTTATATTTGCCTCAAATGTCACTAAGAATTACTACAATTAATATAACAATAAAAAATGAAGGCAAGCCATTAAATATATATAATTATATATCTATATATCAATCAATTTTGTTTTTAGAAGCTATCACTTATATCGTTAAATCGATTTCTAAAGCATTTTAACTATTATATCACTTTTAACTGTTATATTGCTTTTAAGCAAAAAACCTAAATCTTAAAGTTTTTCTTACAAATGCTTCTTACATAACATTGTCATCATTTGATGTGTCTATTGTTTTTATCCGTTCATAATATTTGCCAACAAATAATATGTTAGTTGAATGGTATTCACTATTTTTTGATAAATATCATTAAATGTTAGTTTTTAATTATAGCAGCATATATTTATATCATAAATGTTTATATAAAAATAGTTTTAGCACACGGAAAAAATTCATTTTTAGTTCACATGTTGGCAAATACATTAAATCAATATCATAAAAAGTATATTGTTTTTTAATTAATTGATTTATAATTAACAATCAATTTTTCAATAAAATGTATATTTTATTGGAGGCACAGTATTTGAATGAATGAATAATTTTATTAATCATAACGAGTGTTGATTAATACATAAAATCTTGAGTACAGTATAATGGAAACTAACATTTAAAAATTATTATTTATACTAATATACTAGATCTAGTATTATTATTTATAGTAATATGCCTGGACTAAAAGTATCATACAATATATTCTGCGCAATTTAGTTAGTTCAGTTATTATTATGGTTTATTTTATTTAAAAATATTTAAAAATCGTTATTTTTCAACTTTAAAAATAATACTAATATTCTGAATGAGAATATCACTTTTTGGAGAATAATCCAGATTTTGATGATTTACAAATTAATATTTACAATTCAGCACATAAAATGTACATACATATTTAATGCATAATGAATTCTAATACTGTATTGAAATTAAACAATATTTAAAATAAATTTATAATTAAAGAGGTATCCAACATAGTGTACTAGTTTATACAGTATATACAAGAATACGAGTAAATGTATTAATAATAAATTTCTGTAAATATTTTATGGTTTAATGGAATGGTGTTTATTTAGGACATAAAAGTATAAATTATTTTCTTTTTACAATAGAAATTCTCAGTTAAGCAAAAGTGCATCCAATAAATTAATCCGAAGTATTATATTGTATGCTTTCATTGCCAGTATTTGTTGGGAAAAACAATCGTTTGAAAAGATTTATAGAAAGTATTTCACACACAAAATCCAATATAATAAACTTAATGTGAAAATCGCATTCTTTTGCACCAGTGTTCACAGAATTGAGAAAATAAAAGCCGTTGAAATCATATTAAATTGAGAAATATTTCACTATAAATTTAAAATAAATTTTAAAATTTATTTAAATGCAATCAATGAACGCCTTTATATAGAAGGAATAATTTTTTATGCATTTTATGCAATATAATACACTGTTATCTAAAATAAATTTTTTATTATTATATTATATTATATGAATTCAAATAAAAAATTATTATTTAAATAAAATTATATACATTGTATGTCTTGAATATGAATCAGCTATATATAGGAAATAATTATATATATATATATAAAGGTTGAAAACTGGAGGCGAATGTAAAGGTGTAATGAATTGTGACCATTGCTTAAACTAACCATTATATCGGGCAACGAATACAATGTTATGTGAATATTATATGATATGATATGTGATATAAATATAACAATCGGGGCGTATATCGCGTGGGCTATAAATTATTAGTTATAAGTTCGCCACTGAAATGCTATGCAAACGGAAGCATAGGTTTCGAGTTTTATTGTCCAATACCTGTAGTATTATACCATTAAATACAGTGATAGAAATTGATTTATAAATCAATTTTTTGTTGTTCAACTTCATGCATAGCAGTCAAATATATGGTATTAAAATTTAGTAATAATTAGATGACAATTGATTTAATAAAAAATCATTTATTAAATGTTTCTCAAAATATTAATTATGATTTAATTGAACAAATCTAATGAATGAAATTATATTAACAATAATTTACTGGATGCCAAAAATATTAGGAAATTGTTTATTAATATAACGTGTAAATTGGAAAAGGGAATCAATAATTTACATAAAAAATCAAATTAAGATTAAATTACAAACTAATTATTTAAATACATTTTATGCCTGAATTGTGCCGTTTTTAATGCCATTCTCTTCTACTGGTCTTTCGCCGACTTCGTATGTCTGCAAAAAGCATTTTAACAATTATTTTGTCATTAAAAGCATATAAATGATTGATCACACCATACCTTATATGTTGGGTTATCATAGGCAGACTCTGACGGCGCTCTAGTTATGGGTGCCTTCGCTGACGACTGCTTTCGAAGTAGAAAATATAAAACCACCACAAATGCAATGCCAGTGACCGTCGCAAACACGGACACAATGACCAGACAGTAGAGATATCTTCCGTCCATAATATCGCTCTCCCGAAGAGCTTCCGCCTCATTGGCTATGAATGTAAAGTTTTTTTATGAATAAATTATTTATGCTTTAGTTAGCACTTAAAAACAGATTTAAATTAATGTTTAATGCAATAGCTGTGCATATAATCAATAATGAATAAGTGGTGAACTGACCCGAAATGTCTATTTTATCGATAGACGACAGCGGCCTGTCTTTTGTTGTGAATTCAATAGCATTTGATGACACAGTTTTGCCGTTTGTTAAATAGAGATCAATCCACGCTTTATATCTAAGATAAAACCATAAGAAATAATATATTTCATATGTAATCCAATTACAGCATACCTTCTGTCAGGCTTGAGTCCATCCAAGACGAGCCTTCCCTCTCCGTCAGGATCTTTGAAAGTGTGCAACAATTCCATACTGTCTTCACTTCTATAGGATATCTTAACCACATTTATAAACTTATTGATTGGCACCGGCAGGTCATTCATTTTGATTGTGGTGTGAAGTGTATCAACATTGACATCATTGGGATGTATTGTGACATTTATGTCAAATAAGTCTTTCGGAGGCGACGGCATATCAATCACAATTGGTTTTGTGGATATGATGTGAGTCGGGATCTCAGGGTTTGATGTGAACAATAAGTCCACAGCATATGACACACCGGGCTCTAAGTCTCTTAACACGTAAGACCTGACATCCCGATGAAGTATTGGCGATGCCTTCCATTCATTTTGATCTTTTTCAGCGTTTTTATAGCGAATCTGAATGCCATCGATAAACTTCTTCTCCGGTGCACTGAATACTCTCCACGAGATTTTCAGTGTCTTATAATCATTGGAGACGGCATTGAGCTGCACGTCGAGCATAATCATTGGCGGAACAGTAGTGGTGGAAGTGGTTGTGCTGGCAGTGGAGGGGATGGGAGGTAAATAGAGTTTATAGACCTCGCTCTCGGGGCCCGACTGGAGGGCTTCGATGATGACTTGTATTTGGAAGAAGTAAGTGGTGTCTGGACTAAGGTTTCCCAAATGGTACTCAATGTTTGGAGTGTCAAAGAGTCGTTTGGGTCGCGCGAACTTCTGGATATTCCACTGCGACCGCGGAATACTCATGTCTGGCGTGTAGTGCAGCTCCGCGTGACCGATCAGTCCCACCAGAAGGGACGGCAGTGTGAATCGGATCCGGGCCGACGTCGAGTTAATGGCCACGATGTTCACGTGCTCTAGATCTCGACCTATAACCACCATAAATACAGTCAATTGTGTTTATAGAAAACAACAATAGCTTTTAAATTATTGCCATCAAAGCATATAATATGCAATAAAAATATTTATTCAGTTCATTACTCGAGTTATAGATGGATGGATAATATGGTTTAGGGATATGTTTAGTACGGATACCTGAGTCTTTAGAGTCGTTACATATAACGTAAGGACAGAGTACGACCGGGTCATCAGGTATTACAATAGTCGGGTTGGGACAGTCAAGGGTGGGCTGCAAAAAGCGATCAGTTATCTGCGGGCATCCTCCTGGATGACACTGAACATGTGGTAATCCATTGGTAATACTACACTGGCATCGCCTTTTAACCCCCTGCCCCTTCTCATCCCATTGTTCACCCAATTTATAGCGCTTTCCATTGTGTGAGCAATGATTAGCTATCAATGAATGAGAATTAAGTTTTAGTTAGATTTTTATTAGATATTGTTTTTCCTATTGTCTAATATTTTAGAAACTCTTTTTAGTTTATAATTTAAACCCAATTTCACTGAATATCTGCTTTATTAATCTTAACAAAAAAATGATCTAACATTAAAAACATATTATATAATAAACACTCTGATATTTTATATTTATAATAAAAATGTATTACAATAATATTAACATTAAGAGTGATTTTCATCTGTATTTTCATTATGCAGTCGAAATAGTGAACAATTGAATGCAGAGTTAAAAATAGCATAAATTAAATATTAGTGAAGTATGAAGTAATTTGTTTGGCGAACACTATTGAGAGTTAATCGAAATTCTTTCAACAAATTCTTTGACAATTCATATAAATAAATAGAAATTTGTTTTTGACATTTAAATCATAGCATAATACTATGAAAACTATACGTGAATGTATTTATCAACGTAAAATGTATATTTATAACCACTTAATATCAATTAAACCCATTGATTATATAATATACAACGTGTAAATTTAGTTTAAGTAATTATTGACTTTTGATATAACGGTACATATTTGTATAATATTTGTTTTAAGTTTATTTACTTTGTATTATATAAAATCACTCCTTCGTAAATACGAATTATAATTGAATTACTTCTTTCTATTAAAAACTATTACTTACAAAATAGGATGTTTTATTAGTCAGATTTTAACATAGATCAATATAAAAAAACCTAATTCACATAACGCGTTAAGCACAAGCGAGTATTACATAATCGTTTATAATCGCTAAGCATTATTTACCGTATATTAAAAAGGGTATCAATTAAATAATTTTAAGAAATAAGATATAAAACTTACTCGACTTTTCTTGTTCACGACATAACCAATGAAGACAACAATTGTCGCCTAAAAATTTAATTCAATTCAATTGAATTATAACATCTTATAAATGAAATGACTGTTAAAGTAAATTTAGTCATACCGGGCAGATGTCCCCGATAGGCATGGGTTGCAGGACATGGCATATGTGGCGGTGGGATATCTGGTACTGAAGGACAGCGGTTTTCACAGTCAACTTTGCCCTTAAGACAGACACATCGGGTGCCACATGGAAGTAGTTCCTGAGGAATGTGTTTGAAGTTTGGAAACCGAATTCCAGCGAAAGAACACGAGCCGTCTGTTTATTGGATCCAAACAATGGTTTGAATTGATTTGTTAAATAAATACAACTTTAAATGAATTGAAATACCGTTTTTGCACTTAGGTTTGGGACAACAATTGGGAGGCGTGGGAATGAAATGGGGGTCAATATCCCACTCGAGACAATCGGAAACATGGGGCGCGAAATTGTGCGGACACTCAATGGCCGCACAGTTAAGCCGGGCGTCGGTTCCGCAGTGACAGACCGCTCGGCAGCCGTCGTATATCTCTTCTCCGATCGCAATGTTTCTGCCTTTGAATTCACAAAACTCTTTGTTTCGCGGCGGAGACGACGACTTCTCCGGTAAATCAAGCGCTGAAATAATTTGTCAAAATATTTTACTATAACGTTAAAATATAGGCAGATTCTTATGTCCGATGTTAAACATTGTTAAATATAAAATACTAATTGTGGCCATTCGGTTACTTTTATTATTGCAAATTATTAGTAATATAATGTAGAAAATTACTGTACTATCAAAATTATCAGTATCGATTTTGTGAAAAGATAGCCTGCTACTTAGTATTTATTTTCAATTATTAGTACTAGTATATTAGTTTCTTATTTTATTAAAATTTAGATTTATCCTTTGACTTATATAATTTTTAAAAATTAATTTTCAACAATAAAATTTAATAGTAATGTATCCTAATGAATATTTGACTTTTGTAAAAACTTTAAAATAAAAATTAATATTATGAAATAGAAATTCCACTAAACGTTAATTCTGTATATTAAAATTTTATTTACTTCAAATATTTCTTATTAAAGTGCTTTTGAAATGTTATAAATTTGACAAAAACGTTAATAAAAAATTTGATACTTTTGTACAATAAATATTATTAAAAATTACTGTAAGTATATCCTGCTCAGTTATAATATAGTAACCTATTTAGCTGTTTTGTATATGATAAAAATTGATTGAAATAAG